AATGTGTTTCTAGCTTATTCCATCTGTAATTATGTCTAAACAATACTTAAGAATGTCTAAAAGAGTATGAGGATGAAGCTATGCACATGGAAGTGTTTTTCAAAAGTTACTGAAATAGAGAACTTCACTCGAGCGCACGTTTGGGCGCTTGAGCGGTCTGCATGGTTTGCAAAAATTATGGATGCTCAAAATCTAGGCTTGACGGTTGCTCAAGCCAGGTGCAATGAAAGCTGAGTTCACTCAAGCAGACTTTGGGTCGCTCAAGCGATATGCAATGCCTCTGCAAAAATACTGGATACTTGCACTAGAGCGATGAGGTCGAATTCTAGGTTTTCCATAACAGAATTTCCAAAAAGTGAATTTTAGTTTCAAAGGCTTACATGGCTGGACCAAAAACATGGAATCCCTTGGGAAAAAATATATAAACACAACCACTTTGAAACCATTTGCTCAAAACCATTGTCAATTTTCAAAATCAAACTCATGTATGCAAAGAATTCAATCTTATCACTTCCAAAATGTCAAAACATGGACAATTGAGTAGAGATACATGGATATTTATGAAAAATAATAACTTACATGCAAGCTAAGATTTCAAAATTTTAATTAAAAAATGATGAAATGATGCATGCATGTTTCCATTAAGCCAATTTCATTATTTTCTTGACTATTTCTTCCAATTAACATGCAATTGATTGTAAACACTTCATAGACTTAGCTCGTAAGTGGATTTTCTTCAAGAATTAAGGGTCTATTACTCACCTAAAACTTGATTTGGTGACTTCTACACAATTTTCTTCAATTCTCTTCCTTATCTTCACAATTCTTCTTCTTCTTCTTCTTCTTCTCTCTCTAAAGTTGGTCTCACTCTCTTTCTAAAATTCAGCAAATAGATGAAGGAAATATGAGTTCAATCTCGCTATTAACACACATATATATAGGTTAGATTAGTTTAGACTAATTAAGTGAGCTTAAGGCTAATTAAACAAGTTTAAGTCTAATAGATCCTACTCAACTCGAATGATTATTCCTAATTAATTTAATCTGAATCAAATTTTAATTAAATTTTCCAAATGATTCTAAATATTCGAATTAGTCTATTGAACTTGTCGATTTCTATTTCTGAATTCGTTTGGGCCTTCAATTTTTGATTCAAAGTAAACATTCTAACGAATATTTCAAAATCAAATAGATATACACAAAATTAAACACATAATCATGCAAATTCTCTTAATAAAATAATATGTAATAATGATATGAACATAGGGGTCGTCACAATTGGTGTCTTATTGAGGTACCCTTTTTTGACTAGACTAACCTAGTACATATATTGAGCTATAGCAACTTTCAAAATTAGGACATGATATTTTGCCATCTAAGATGTGATGATGCTGCCTTGTTTGAATAGTGAATCTCTAGATCTATTCAAAAGCTAGGATATGGAAGCCCTAACCTGTAGGGGTGTTTGGAATGATTGCTTATGTGAAAGTGTGAAATGCTTACTGTGCGAACGTGAAATCTTGAGAAAAAGGACACCCAATCCTTGGAAAGTCTTAATTTTAAGGGGATCTCTTTCAAAATTTGGGATTATATCAGAATCAGAGTTTAGGATCAGAATCTAGGGGGTTGTGTTTGTTTGGTGGAGGATTAGAATTCGGGAATTGTATCTAAATAGGCGAATTTATAGCAAGATCAGAACCAGAAAGTCAAAATTGTGCCTTGCTTTGTTTTGACCAACATGTCCAGTACCGTGATCAGATGGGGTATTTGTTTTAATGATAGGATTCATCAAGGCCAGGAGAGCTTGATTTTGTATACTTTGGTAGGTCACCCAAGAGAAGTCATACCCAATATAGAAGTAGCCCAACTAACCCAATCCAGAAAAAGCCCAAACCAATCCAACTCAAAAAAAAGCTTAACCCATCATACTTCAATCAAAAACACTACAATCTATTCAAACTCGCAAAAGCCATCTCTGAAACACTCTAGTCCATCCAACCCCTCCTCCTAAAAAAAAAAACCCCCCAGTTTCGACAAGGTCACATCCACCCAGTTCCCCCAAATTACTAATTCACCATATCCCATAATGACCCAAAATCCAGTGGATCAAGTAGACATGCTTACAGCCCTACAGCAGACTATGGATGCTCTCGATCACACAGTTGCCACCCAAGCTGAGACTATTGCTAAATTGCAACACCCATCTAGGGCATCCACTACCCACCTACTTCCAGCTGAGTTGATCATCTAATCCCAAACCCACTTTTGTCACCTGAAAAACTTCCACGGTCCTAATCTACAAGAAGGACCAGGCCAAACCCATATTGCCAGAACTTCGATACGACCTGTTGAGGAACTTTTCCCTCTCGATCTTAGCGAGTTCTACCCCACCATGTTGAAAGTAGCTAAACTTGAAAAACTGTTTGAAGAGTCACAAGGAATCAACTTTATTCTGAACATTGAGGACGGGTGTACAAAGGTTGTTGTAAGATTGTCAGAACGGTGCACATAGATAGATTCAATAGAGCTAGAGACCCAATGGTTCATTTTCCCCTCTTTTTAGACATCCTAAAGCCTATGGATTTGACTTAGGACCAAAAGCTTTCCTTGTTCGGGAAAACCATGTCAGGAGTGGCTGTTACTTGATAAGCCAAGTTAGATGATTTGATCACAAAGAACTGGGAGAAGTTGGCTAAAGCATTCATTGCACAGTACTCTTACAACACATATATCGAGGTACCCACCTGAGAGTTACAGGTAACTTGCCAAGGGCCTAATGAAAGCTTCGTGTCACTCATTACTAGATGGAAGGCAAAAGCAGCCATGATGACAAACAGGCCTCTGGAAAAAGATTAGATCTGCATGGTTGTAAGGAATCTGCATGGGCGACTACTATAGAAAATGATAGTTCTCCCTATCTTCAATTTCAAAGACATACATGAGATTGGGGTTCAAATTGAAGATTCCATCAAGTAGGGAATCATTGTAGAGGAAAATGAACCTGTAAGGAAGTCATTCACCCATAGTAGTATAGCTACCAATGCCGAGCCCTCAGAAATCGATGCAGTTACCACCACTGCCAAAACCGCTAATCCCTTCGCCAATGTCAGCTTATAAACAGGCAACTCAATCCTAGCCCAGAAAAGAACATACCGTCATCCCCATATGTCCCTAACCCGTTCCATGAAAGTCTTGGTAGAAAAGGGGTTCCTCAAACCCCTTGACCCCTGACCTCTCCCTAGTATTCTCCCAGCTCAGCATGACCCTACTAAATACTGCGCCCACGGTCATGATACTGATCGTTGTTTTTGCTTTCGTTATTAGATTTAAGACCTCATCAATAACAAAACCATAGCTTTACCTCAAAAGCTCAATGTCACTACCAACCCATTGCCTCCCTATGATAAAATACCACTCTTTTTAACCTTAGCTTCATCCGTACACTACTGTCCACCTACAATCCCAGTATATACATCACTTTGTCCGATCTACCCAAGCTTAAGGTGTTCATTCCAGAGGGCACCGACTTGTGCATGATGGATGCACCTGAACTCCAATCTTCTCAAATCCTAAAAAATAAACTCTGAAAAAATTCATCTTAGTCAATCCATCCAGATCAATCCAATTTAGATACACCAAGTGCACCAATGACCGAACCAACTACTTCTAAGATATTGGGAATGATTGAAGATCTTTAGAGAACTATGACAGATTTAACCTCTAGAGTTTTGGCCTCGTCATCTATCCCATGCTGGGAATATCACATCAAAGAGCCCTCCAATCTTGGGATAAGCTAAAAACGGAATGGGCCACCCCAAAGTCGAAACTGTGGTAAATGTTGATGGTGATAATAGAAGGGTAACCCAATTGGAGATATTGTTCAAAGACATCTCAAGCCATGGTGATACCATGTCAACAGCAAAGGGGCCTTGCCTAAATATAACCATCCAAATCCTCCACAAGGCTGAAAGAAGTAGTAAGAATGAATTTGGGGCAAGTATTAATCCTTGTGCACATCTCCAAGTTCTTACAGCTGTTGAGGAGATTGTGGATGAAACTTTTGTTGCTCAATACCTAAATGCCCAAATGGGGGTTATCGCTAGTGATTTCAGTGTGAGAAGCTAGATTGAGGGAATTGCGAATTAGGGGCCCACAAACAACAGAAGGCCAAGTCATGGAAATAGATGCCTTGCCAGAATTACCCATCCTAATTCCAATCCCAAACCTATACTTAAGTGATATATCTCTTTGGATGCCAATGGATGAAGGTTATGTTGCTTGAGTTGGAATATTGTTGATTGATATGCATGTGAGCTCAGTTTTCTTTGAGTTGTACATTTATCCAAAAGATCTTTCATAAAATGCATGAAATCAAAGAATAACCAAAATAAGTAACATGATCTATACTTGATTACTTCACATAGTAATGTTAACATTATTAGTAACCGGAACATGAGCATATATTGTTTATAAAACTCATATCATAGTTTAGTAGAGGCCGATCTTTTGATCGGGTGAGCAGAGGTGCTCAATTCATGACCTTTCCCCCATACCTAAGGTTCTGAACCGAGACACCTTTGGTTATGACGAACAAGGGCCTTTGGCACGAGTCACAGGTTTCCTAATTTCTCCAAAAGATTAGGTGGCGACTCTAAGATCTGGTGATATAGTCCATTTCTGGCATTTTTGGCAATAAATGGATTTTCTATAAAAGTTGTCAGATTTGAACTCTCATTTTCTGTTTTACATTGCACTAGTGCTATCAGATCAGAAATCAAGAGTCTGAACTGTTGGGTGCGCTCGGGTACCCCCGAGACATCCTACAAACTTTTCAAAAAATTTCAAGCTTGCAAAACCATACAAAGAAAATCTTTTTGGATTTTTGATAAACAATGCAAGAAAGAAAGAAACAAACACACACAAAAGACCCAAAAATAAGAAAGACAAACAAAAACTCAAAAGTAAAAGAAAAAAATAAAAATAAAGAACAAATAAACAAATTAGCCCAAATCAAGCTTTCTTACCCAAACTACTTTAGTATGAACAATGTTGTGAGAATTGCGATTCTTGAGTGGTGTCTTGATGTTGTGGTTCACTTTCCCTTCAATGGGAACCCGACTTAACTTTGTTTCCAACATCCTATTTCTTGGTCTAGTCAAACTCAATCTCGCTTCAAGTTTGGTCTCCAGCAATTCAAAACAATGACGTCTAATGTGACCCTTAAGCCCGTAGTGATGACAAATAGGAATGAATTTAGCCTTGGCTACACAGTTATGAGACAAAGAAGAAAATGAAGTGATATTACCCCTAGTCATGAAATCTTGAGTGCTCTCATCCTTGGAAGTTGAGGTTTTGGATGCTGAGGCATGTCCTTTGATGACACCGACTCCTCCTTTATCATTGACCATGTATTGAGTACAAGGAACCCCATCCACACTTTGTGCACTTGAAGCTTTGACACTTTCGAGTTCCAACTCCAAGGAGATAATTTTATCTTCAAGCTCTTTCCCGGACTTTGAACAAGTCTCCAACTCTCTTTCAAGATCACCATACTTCTCTTTCAACTTATCACGAGCATGAAGCAATTGATTTCTCTCCATTTCACATGTGGAGAGTTTGGCGATCAAAGACTCTATTTCATTTAAGAAAATACTAATTTTCACCTGAGCTTCCATTAGTCTAAGCTCGGTGGACAACTTGATGTTCATCTTTGTCAAGGTGATACTCCGCTTATACAACATCTCATTTGCTTCACGAAAAGTTACACCATCTATTTCTTCTTCCATACTTGATGACTCACTACCATCATATGAAGACCTAGAAATTGAGTTTTCATTCTCACTCTTATCAATAGATGAATCTTCATTCAAAGAGTCCACACTCGATGTATGAGAAGTGGAATTTCCTTGAGACTTAACATTAGAACTTGCTTCCTCATAGATAGACTTCAACAAATCCCATGCTTCTTTGACCGTCTCACAATGAGAAATATGGGTTTGCTCACCTTCTGAGATAGCACCTCGTATTACCTCTAATGCTCTTACGTTGTATCCAAAGTGTTGCAACTCTAGTTCACTTCACTGCTCTTGAGATTTCAAGCTTCTTAAGTTGGTTACCAAATCAAGTTTATGTGGCATCTTGAACCCTTCATCTGTGGTACTCCAAAGGCTTGCATTAAATGCCAACAAATACACCCTCGTTCGAGCACTCCAGTATGGGTATTCAGTTTCGTCAAAGTAAGGAGGGATGGTAACATTCTAGCCATGAGCATGCTCAACTTGACCCTTGACATAATATCCATTCATCCCATCCGCTACGGAAACTGCCATGAAAGTAAGAAATTGGTCATGCCCTTATTTGCCTTGAGCCTCGTTGTGACTTTCATCCTTATCAGACTTTGATTCATCATCCTAAGTGATAGTGAAGGCTTTCTCCTTCTTCAATCGATTAGGGCATTCTTGAGAAAAATGGCCAAATCCTTGGCGCTCATAGCATTAGACCCTTTGAGAATTCCCTTGTATTTTTCATTTCTTCTTCACTGTTGTAGAGTCAATTTGAGCTTATCTTTGCCTTTAGATTTATGAGTTGATTCCAACAAATTAGGCTTCTTTTTTAGAAAAGACTTTTTGAAACGTTTTACAAAAGTGTCCGTCATCTTGGAATCAAACTCACAATCCTCATCGGAATAATTTCCAACTTTATTAGCACTACTAAAATCAATGACAAATCAACACTATGACTTAACATGGAAAAAATCATAATCGGAGCACCTCCAATTGTGAAAAAAAAAAGAACCACGGGTCAAAGCTACAAAACAATCTACTAAGAAGATAAAAAAGAATTACACACGAGTATCCTCAATTACCTAATGAATCCAAGCCCAAATTGAACCAAACCCAGTGTGCCTCTTCCACCATCGTCTTCACCTTAGAATTGCTTTGACCAATGTTGAATCTACAATGCCAATGTCAAATCCACGATGATGAGCCACTCCAAAATCCACCAAAGCTTTAGGCCTAAGTTCCCCGAAATCCACCGGAGAACACCTCTCTCTTTTGTCAATGAAATAATAAAAATAAACCCCTTGATGATATCAGTATGAAGCTCATAGATCCATCGATCACTCTCAAATCACCAAGAAAACTAATATATAAACACCCTCCAATATAGAAAACCTTGGAAGCTCTCATCTCTAAGAATTTGGACGGTTTAAATCGTAAAACTAGCAAACAACGCACTTTATATTAAACAGAGCAGTGAAGATTGCTCTAGCTCACACTTTACCGCTCGAGTGGTGTGAGTAAAGGTGGTGCAAACATATAGGCCAACCGCTCGAGCGGTAAAACTTGTCTCCCAAAAGATTAGATATAGTCATGAACCACTTCACCATTTGAGTGGTAAAACTTGTCTCCTAGAAGATTAGACGTAGGTAACGATATTGGATGAACCACTTCACTGCTTGAGTGTACAAATGATCGCTCGAGTGGTCAAGCAACTTTGACTTCTTTCTTGTACACAGTTAGCGAAGTGGCAAATAAAGAATGCTCAAGATACAGAATGTCAGCACACATTTCTCTACACAGATATAATTCGGGTTGAATTCGCATCTAAACATTCATAGCCTCACTAAAATAAAAGAGTGAATAAAATTACAATTAAAATGAGTTTTGTCAAACAGGATTGCCAATTACAAAAACCTAACAAAATATAACTTTTGCATCACACTAATTTTGATCTTACCATCAAAGAAAAATTTAAAAATTAGGTTAAGTTGGATTGCAATTTTTGTTAAGATTTTAATTCAATGGCGCCCTTTAGAGCATCTCCAAGGAATGAGGAAAAAGAGCATCCTGAGGCATTTTTGCTAGCAGAACTGGTTTTATCCTCCTCCAAGAAGCTTTGCATCAGAAGAGGCAAAATGCCCATTTTGATTTTTGGCTCTCCACGAGTAGCCATCCTTCATTAAGAGGCAAAAGGGTTTCCCACTGAAATTGCTCCCTTCATCTGATCAAGTACTCTTCTTTTGCTTGGTTACGTGTTTGTATATTACATCCAATTGATTGATTTTGTGTTTGTATATTACCATTTGAAAATATGATAGTTTGAAAATATTTTTTTAAAAAAAATAATTTAATGTATATATTTTTAAAAATAATTTAATCATATATTAAAAATATATATTTGTAATTGCCATATCAATATATGCATCATGTCATAAAAATATTATTTATTTATTTATATATATGTATATATTTATAATATTTTTCTTTTAAAAATTAGTTAAATTAGTTTGATTGATTAGCTAAAATAAAGAGTATGGTTGGTGTATATACTAACTAAACTAGTTAGACAAAATAAAGAGAGTATTTTTTTTAAATTTTTTTTGTACCTTTGCAAAGCATTTTGCCTCTTACCCTTGAAGTTGCTTTTATGAGCCAAAATTCTGGATCTGCTGCTGTCCACCAAGAATGAACCTAAGGGGATAATTGCCCCCTTACAATTTAATGAAAAAAAAAAAGAAGAAGAAAATTATAGTATAGTAGTATTAACTTTTAATTATCTCCAAATTATATAAATTCGTCGCTTCAAATTTTATTTTTATTTTTGTCTTTTAATTCTAAGTGGTCCGTTCATTGAGATTTGCTTAAAATATAGATTTTCCTCTGTAGTTTAAAATATAACAAATACTCCATTCATAATTTTATATTTAACAGAATTAATTGAAAAAATAAAATTACTAACTATTTTTCTATACAATAATAAAATTACTTAAATTATTATTTGAAATAAATTTTTGATATCATTAAAAACTGTTAATTAACTTTATGATTTATTAATAAAATGAACCATTTGTCATTAAATTTTAAATTTCAGGGGGTGAGATCTAATTTCCAAAATCAGAGGAGACAATTTGTATTTTAAGCAAATCTCAGGGGGTGTATTTGTAATTTGCCCTTAAAATTTTAAATGGTTGCCCTTCTATATTTATAAAACTTAGAGGTCAAAGTGTAAAATAAAATTTTGGATAAAATATAATAAAATAAATTAATTTCTCATAACTAATGTCAATTTTGATTCTTAACGCACAAAAAAAAAAAAAAAAAAAAAAACAAAAAAAAAACAAAAACAAAAACAAAAAACAAAAACAAAAACAAAAACAAAAACAAAAAACAAAAGAAAATGGATGAAGAGTCATAAAGTTAGTCAATTACATTTATTAAAAAAAATATTATTCGAAGTTTCAACATCAATTCTATCATTGATACTTTTAATGTAATGTCCCAAAATAATTAATATTAGATAATCCCATAAGTAAGCTAGATGTAAGGAAATTCCATAATGTTTGATTCTTTGATTCTCATGAAAGGATTACAAAAGATGCCACATGTATTTATACATTTATAAACTTAAAATTCTGAATCTATAGCAAGTGACATATATCAATGCAAGGAAATGAAAAGAAATACATTTAGGTTGATGCCTTAATTACTGCATATTTCCAAGTCGATACTTAGTTTCAACATAAGTACATCAAGTGTAAAGTAAGTAAAAAGCTCGAGGCTTATGCAACAGATATTTACAACAAAAGAAAAACAAAATGAGCCTTCAGTTTCACGATCCTCCCAAGCTAAGTTCTTGGTGAAGGCATACTATCAACACCCTAAAAGTTGGTTTCCACATTGGGTGAGTTAAAAGTCATTAGAGAATAATTGAACACACTATGATGTTTAACAAAGTCATATGGTGAATACATATGTATGCCATTTGCCAAATCGTCACCCTTTCTCTTTCAAAACAATGCAATGCCATGATTATATATTAATTCGTAATACTTTTTAAATCAGAAAACAGGACAGTGGACACACAACAATGGGAATCTCTAGGTACGTGTTTACCAGTAGGCTACACAAGCACTACCAAAGCTATTTTACTAATACTAACCGTAAGGATCGGCACTTAACCGCACATGTAACGCCCTCAAAATAAGACATAAATCATCTATTCATTATATCTATTAACATGATAGAAAAGTTACATTTCATTTATCAGAGTCAGTAATACAAAAACATATTACATGTAACTCTAACTTCTAAATAACAAAATAAATGTTCTGCGGGCTTACATCTTTCGAAGTCAACACTTGGTTACAACAAAAGAAGAGTCCTAACTCTTTTACATATAAAGCCCTCGGCTTGAATTTACAATTAACATCAAAAACAAAATAACAAAATGGAGCCTTCATCTCCTAAATCTCCCAAGCTAAGACCTTGGAGACGACATGTCACCTGAACCTGAAAATGGTGTCCCAAGTAGGGTGAGCCAAAACCCAGTAGAGATATGCTAAATAATATAAGAGAATCAACTAAGACATGAGCATCAGATAAATATGCAACATTCTTAACGCAACATTCTTAACCAATATATATATTCTTTCCAAGATCAGTTAATATAGAGAGCCAACACGTCATTTCATTTCCATTTTTCCCATGCCGGGTAAGTCAATTTATCAAGTTCATTATTATCAAAACAATCAATATGAGACTACAACTCAATGGTTCACAATTCAACACATTCATCACTTCAACACTTCAATATCTTGCTATTTTACGGAACCACGTTCGAGGGAACCAGCACCCATACATATATAAAAGATTTTGGGACTTTCACCCTGGACACTTCGGCCAACTTAATTATCAATGGAGTCCATCTCTTATCTCCTCCCACACAATGGAATACATCCCCTATCTCCTCCCAACCAAAGATACATATACAATGTATTTAAACAATTACCAAATAAATCACATATTCAATAGTTTAATCCAACCGTCATATTCAATGACATAATCCAATTGATTAGTTTCAATTCACCTAATCATCATGCATTCTCTACAACAATCATAGCTATCCTCCACCGATAGCCCAAAACATATATTTCTAAACAGATAAATAAATCTATCAACAGGTAATTTATCAACTTTTCCATGGGTGAGCAATTTATTAATCCAACAACACCATTAAATCACACTTTCCCCCAATTCCACAATTCCCAAACCAATTTCATATTTCCACAAATTGATTTCATTATTTATACACATAATTGTATAATTCCAATTAGGACATTTTCTCTTTTTTTTTTTCAAATATTGCACCCAAGGCCAAATTTCACCCATTATACACAAACAACTCCATTTTCAAGACCTCATATACGTATGGAGCCCAAAAATAGAAAACCCCTCTTTCTTAACTTCAAACTCAAACCCTAACTTCACCCAAACTTCCCAAATCCCACCATTTATACAAAATGACAAATATCTAGGTCAAAACTCATATTAAAGAGTAGATTATCTCTACATCAAATGGAGAAGCTCAAAGGAGAAGAAGAGAGAAACCCAAGATGCTCCAAATCCAAACTTTTTCAGATCAAAAGATAGCCCACGCAATGCTCAAACTTTTTAACAAAGAGAGTAGGGTAGAGAGACTCTAAATTAAGAGTATTTGTAGAGAGAGAGAGTATTTTGGAGAGAGAGGCTGCTGTGCTAGGGTTTGGAATGAAGAAAAGGGCAAAAAGTGATATAAAAGCACGCTGCTGCGAACTGATATATGCGAGGCTCGCTTGAGCAAAGGACTTGTCGCTCGAGCGACCAGACACAACAAGAGACCTCGCTCGAGCACAAGAAGCGTCGCTCGAGCGTACAATGCAAAGCTTTAGGTCTGCTACAAGTGCAGACGCATGCTCGAGCGTAAGAGTTATCGCTCGAGCGAAGGAACAAATAACACGGGGCTCGCTTGAGCACAAGAATGCTCACTCGAGCGAAAACTGCGTCTAAGAAAGAAACCTGAAGACCCTCAAACCTCGCTCGAGCGCAAAAAGCCTCGCGCGAGCGAAGAAGCAAATACCCAAGGCTCGCTCGAGCGCAAAAAGCCTCGCTCGAGCGAAGAAGCTAAAACCTAGGCAGCAACCAGTTGAATAAACTCACAACCAACCTGTTCCAAACTCACCCAACAAGTTCCAAAACTCAAATACAAAGAGTAAAAGGGAGGAAACAAGACATAGACCACAGTATACAACTACGGAACCCGAGTCCGGAACACAATAAAGGTCGGGGTAAAACATGGATCGCTATAACACGGGTTTTTATACTTTCACCAAAGACACACATACCAACATAGAAATATCACAACCACATCCCCTAACCAGATTCACCAAGGTATTCACCAATTTTTTCTCAAAATGATACATTTTCAATGTATAAATATAAAACAATGTTCAATGCAAAATGTATGAGTAATTGATTTTAATTAACCTAATCCTCATGCAATTTTGCAACAATCAAAGCTGTCATCAACTGATAGCCCAAAACAGATATCTCTATATAAAAGACAGATCTCCAACAACAATTATAATTTCACAATCTCAATGTAGGAGTGACAACACATATCCAAGTCCATTCTCTTCATCAAATATACACTCATTTTATTATTTCAAAAACTCCACTTTCTTTCTCTTTTTCCTTAGGTCAAACCAATGATTTCCAAGATTTCCAATAAAACATCTATTCCTTTTTAAAACACATTTAAAGAAGAAATTTTCAATATTTCAACACAACTCAACAATATAATTATTCCTACAAGATTTCTCAAGAACCCATTTGGAAACCCCTCTTTTACATTTCAAAAACCAAATATAAATCAACCCAACACTCCCAAATCATGATACTTTGCAAGGAACACATTACGAAGCTAAGAATCATACAAGGAGGTTAAAGAAATCCCTATCTCAAGAGTAGAAGAAGAAGAGAAAAAGACCCAAATTTAGACGGAATCAAAAATGAAAATTTCATCGATTAATCGTTCACCTTTACGAGCTTTATACTTTTTTCCAAAGCACTAGGGTAGCAAGATCAAAGGATTTGTGTGTATTTGAGGTGTTTAGACAAGAACTAGAGAGAGAATGAAGAAATTTGGTAAAGTTAATTTTTAGAGAGAGAGAGAGAGAGAGATGAAAAAGTGACTGAAAAGATCTTTTTCCCATATTGATATATGCACAAACCGCTCGAACGACCAAAACACCGCTCAAGCGTTAGAGATAAGGAACCGCTCGAGCGAACAACTCAAGGCTCGAGTGCACAATGACACCCTCTGAATAGTTTAAACCTGCAAAAGACTGCTCGAGTGACCAACCCATGGCTTAAGCGAAGAATACACCCCTCTCAGAAGTTTAGACTACAAACTCAAATACTAGAAGGAACCAAAGACCGCTCGAGTGAAGGAAAAACCGCTCGAGCAAACCTGAAGAAAAACAAACATAAATCCTTTTGAAAAACAAACCACCAACCTGTTCATAACACAACCGAATGACTCCAAACTACCAATCCAAAGGCAACAAGGAGTATAAACAACAACTATGATCATCGGATCCCGGTCCAAGAATACAAAAGGGTTGGGTTTTAACCCGAGTCGCTATATTTAATGATATGAAAAAGTTTCAAGCACAATGAAAGATATTTCACTTCAATAAATAATTTATATTGCAGTCAATATCTTTTGTAACTCAACGTGGATATTAAATTATCATATATATTCATATTATTTTTTTTATGTTTGTAGAAAAAATTAGAAATAATTACCAGTATATCCTATTAATTAGACTTATTTATTCAAAAGTCCTAAGTGAAATGTTTTTATGTATTCACCCCCTCATCTTGATAATGAGAAAATTTTGAAACTTTTTAGGTAATTTATGTTTGTGGAATGATTATTTGCTGCTACTATAATGATAAATTTATCAACGTGATAAATAATTGAGATATTTTGACATTTATTTATGAGTTTTGATTTATTTTTAATTTATTTGTGTTAGTTTGCATTGAAGTATAATGTGAGAAGTGCAAGTAATTAAATTATATTTTAAAAAAAATATTTTTATATTGATAAATTTATAGACACACGGGATATAAGTTTAATTTCAAAACTTTTGTGGCAGTAATGCCCAGGCTATTCCTTTGGGGCCAAAAAAGACAAAACAATTTGGAAAATACCATATTACCTCTACCTATCTATTTACATGTCATCCCTTATTTGTCCACATGTCTGTCATCTATCTATCTATCTATCTATCTATCTATCTACATAATGATGTTCATATCACCACCGCCACCTTTTGCTCGCCTTTTTTGCAATTACTTTTTCGGTTTGGTCAGGTGGAGATCTAAGTAGCAATGGGGCAAAAATGAAAAAAATAAAATAAAAAATTACTACAAAACTCACTGCAGGAAATTCAGCTTTTAGTGGCGTTTAAAAAACGCCGCTAAAAGTGCCAAAAACGCCGCCAATTCTTTTTGTGACGCTTAGCACCAAACGTCGAGGACGCGGCCGTCGCTATAGCTTTATGGCGTTTTAAAAACGTCGTGATATTAGTATAGGCAGCATTTTTAAAAACGCCGCCAAATGTCCTCCTAAACACGTGCCAAATGTCCTCACGACATTTAGCGACGTTTTTGGAAAAACGCCGTCATATCTTTTTTAAACAAATATGACCGTTATTATGTAATATTTAAGAGGTGTTTGTAGAAACGCCGTCATATTCTTTTTTTTTTTTTTTTTTTGGAAATTGTTTTGGTTTTTTTTTTTTTTTTTGTAATAAGAATAAGAAGAGGATCCAAGGCATGGACAACATCATTATGGCAAGTGGAGTTGAAATATTAAAAAAAAAGATGGGACCACGGTTTTGGTAAAACCCACGTTTTTGGATTTTTGGTTTTTATTTTTTTCTTTTTTTTTATTATTATTTTTTTTTAATTTGCAATGCCTGCTTGTAGACTATTCTCCCATATCACCTTACGGACGGTATTCTCCAGGGTTTCACATAAGTCAATCATTAACATCCCAGGCTTCAAAATACCTTTGATGTATTTTCGAACCTAAAAGCAGGCAAACAAAACGTTTTATGTGATAAACCAGATGCAGAAATCCTCACTGAAGTTTTCGCCAGCATTAACAAAAAGGAGATTCCTTTGTTTCTATATTAGCAGTTGTATGTGCATTGTTTCATATAAGAGCAATTAGAAAATAGAAACCTGATGATGAACTTCTGCAGCTCAACTAACAGAATTATATATGGGTTTTTCCAGACGCTCAAACTCTCTCTTTTCTTCAGATGTAGTCCTCCATAGGTTACTGAAACAGAACCAACAACAATGAAAATCAAGCCACAAAATCAATGGAAACAAAAAAGGGATGCAAAATAAGTAAGGGGGAATCACAATGGTAAATGTAAACATGGCTAATAAGAGACCCAAAATTAAGGTTCCCTACCATAAACAAAAGCATTTATATTGAAGTGATCCAAAGTACACAATTATGCCTCAAACTACTACTAACCAACACTAAGCATAAACAATGGTAAAAAATCCTACTACAAAAACCTTCATTGAAAACATCAGCCAACTGATCTCTTGATTTCACAAAAAGGAATTGAAATCAATCCTCTATTGTCAGTGTAGCAACCTGCTCACACAAACGGAAAGTTTATTCTAAAGGTGATTCTTCAAGTAACTAGGACTTAGGATGCACTTGCCTGGAAAAAATAAAGAAAAGAATAGAAAATAGCAGTTCACTTACCAACTGAGTAACAACAAAAGCCACCACTAGCAAAAGACCAGGACGTTCAACGAAAGACCAACTCCTAGAACGTGTCACAAATATTAGGGCCTGACTGATGATACTCACTTGCAAGTATATTGCTGATGCAAGCTTCCTGAAGTCATCATGAGCTGTTGCTTCAAGTGTTGAAACCCCAAATATACGCTAAAAATTACACAAAATGAGGGGAAAATATGTCTCAAGACCAAGCATAACACTGATAGATCAGTGAAAAGAAGAATCATTCAGACTTCAGTCTAGAAGTAAATAATAAAAATTGCATACAGGAACAGTGAAGCGCCTGAATTTGGAATGCATTTTCAAAATTTCACAAGATCAGGCACACTTCAAAATTTTGGATTTATCAATTACATAGAGCCTAAAATAAAATGCAAATAACAAGCATATAAACATCATACATTCTTGAAAATGTCTCATTAATGAAAACTGTATATCAATATTTAGCAAATCTAAACTACTATGTTAAGCCAGGACCAGGGCTGGTCACCAATTCACAAAATATGAAATCCTTTGGCATATAACCTATCAGGTGTATCCAATCAACTATTTCATGACCCATTTACTATAGTTATAAGTTTTCTTACAGGAAAAAAGTTTGTCTTGTATGCTGCCCAGAAGAAAATGACTGTCATCATGGCCAAGTAACCACCAAGAATGACTCCAGTTACAAAAATTTCTGCCAGCTTCCAGCTATCAGGCTGAGGAGATGGTTTCACCCTATCCTTTGATATTGTCATGATGGTACCTGGCATGCCATATAGATAGTATGTATTTAGAACCCCACACACACACACAAATCGAGGCTAATGACAAGAAAATGAGAAGAAATATGCATGAATCTACATGTAGAAAAGGTAAGTAAAGTGTGACAAAATACAAACCATCATTGAGGATGGCAATGATCAGCACCATGAAGGGTGGGAAATCAAACCTCCATATGAGGGCGAGCAACATAAAACCAAGCTGTCAAAACAGAGATAAAAGAGAATTAGGTACAAGGAAGACCACAATCCATGACAAGAGGATCCTATCAAAAAATATGTAATTATGCTAGTAAAAGTGCAAATAATTTTTTTAAAAGAGTTTCAGTTATCATCCTAAATTAAAACACTTACCACAATACGAATAGTAATAGAAACCGCATATATCTGCACCATGAACACCCAAAGCATAAAAAAAAAATTAGTCAATTAAATAATCATAGCAGCATTTGTACAAGTAATGGATGTATTGTACACTTGGATGCAACCCAACTAAAAAAATAACTTGTACTCTGCTAAATTTAGGTGTCAGACAACTTCATGATCATAACCCAAACTTACTGCATATCGAAAAGTAACTCCAAATAGAGCACAACTGATGAAGGTGGTTGCTAAAGGGAGAATTAGCTGAGAAATGTCGGTTACTTGAGTTACTTAGTAACTCCAAGTTGCATATTTTTTCTCATTAATTTTGTTACTTAGTTTAACTCTGAAGCAGAGTACTATTAGTTTAGGAAGTTGGCCGAACAAGCTCAACTCCATAAAATACATTTCAATTGAACAAGGAATGGAAATTGAGCATTGCTTCATGTTTTTCTTTTTCATCCATTTCTCTTTTGGGTAGAATGACTGCAAGTTTCTCTCGCATGATGACAAGTTTGGGATTCAAAATTTTATGCCATCAAAGTTCACATAGTTCTGGTAGTTGAATAGCTAGCAATATCACAGCAATGTATTGGCACTAAAAGAGACAGGAACTAGTTCAAGCATATATTCAATCAACAATGTTGCCACAGGAAAGAGTACATCTCACAAAAAGAAAGGTATACATGTATGTAAAAACAAACATATACAACTATTTTACTATATAAACCATACACCTAATTTAGTGCGAACATTGTCACGCTTTTTATTTTTTCAAAAATATCATTCACATTCAATTATCACCACAGTCAAACAAACTACTTGTGCTCCAGGCACATCTGTTAAGATAAGTCCTACAATGCAAAATCACAACTGTTAAGATAGAAGATAGATAGATCATTAGGAAAAAGCTTATACTGGAATAAAAATACAGTTAATCAACTTTTCTTTATGGAATTGTATACAAGGCATCAAATTAAAGCAATCTGTCAATAAAAAGTGCACTTTTTTTTGGTCTTTTTCTTGTGCCTTGTTAGTAGGACCCTCATCAAAAATCACCAAAACAGCTAATCAATTTTCTTCAACCATCAAACTAATGAAAAGTTTAATATAATATTACAAATGCATCAACACTAGTATATATATCTATACTATTATATATGTCAGCACTGAATTTGGTATCCAAGTCTTTGGTAGGCTCTGTCCTAAAAATAAAAAATTATGATTTAAATTTGGTTTAAATCAATAACGAAACAAATTGATCAACTTTTTGGGATTAAACTACAGAGTTTTCCATATATAGCTTGGAGACTGATTGCCCACCACGTATAACAATATTCACAAGCAATTTAGCATTTTCATATCTTTTTCCAAATTATGATGAAAAATTGAAAACATAAAATGGAAAACAATACAGGACCATTTATAAGCAGATAACTGTTTGTGGTCAAAGCAAAAGATGGCTTACTTTTTGCAGAATCACCAGATCTGCAAGCCACATACTCAAGAGCCTTCAATAAAAGGCCATCTGCAACATACCATTATTTAAATACACATAATAAAAACTGTGATTCTACATTATATGCACTAGAAATGAGGTGCTTTTATAAACAATATTAATAAAAATATAACCTCTTTACTTCTCTGGGAGAGGAATATGGTCAGGAGAAAGATTAATACTCACAAGGCAAGTAGTTAAAAGCATTCACCATGATCAAAATTTACTATCTATCAACAAATTCTAAAAAACTAAACAGGAGTCTTTAAAATTAGCAGATTTACTAGATATTACTGAGTTAAGAGCCAATTAATAAATAGAAATAAGCAATCACACAGAGAGATACTATTCAACGTGGAAAACCCAAAAGGGTAAAAAACCATGGGACAAACAAACCACTTGTGCTCCAAGATTAAGTAGATTCAGATGCACAGATGGTACCTGCTCTAACACTGAGCAATTCGCTATCCACTTCTGTCCAGTCTCTCACTTTGACTTCATTCTCCACAAGCTCTGCCCAACACACGATCACAATGTCTGCGTTTGAACATACAAACTAGGACAGCGCATTGTTCAGGGTAGAACAATGTGCATTTGAACAAACTGGCCCAACGTTTAAACAATTAAGGAAGCCACATTCGAACAGGGCAATACAATGTTTGCATAGTTCATTTCAACTGACACATAGGTATATAAAACCATGGGGTATTGAAGTTAAATCAATTAGTTAATTTAGCCAACAGTCTAAAACTAAATTATCTATGGTCGATAACCCAATAGACCAATCAAGATACTAGATGATGTCAATGCAATTCATGAATTTTACTTTTTTTTATCAAAGTCTTTTCTCACCTAAATGAGAGACCACGATCATCTCTTCTTCTTTTTTCCTCACCTCAAGATCAAAATGGAGCACCTTATTTACCTTGGGTTGTATGATAGGCAGAAATAAATCTGTGACTGCTTTTGCTGATGGTGCTTAAAACTGGTGGTCTCTCCTAACTCCCTAATTTGAATTCAACCAAACACAACATAATTTTAGGGAGCAAAGTCAAACAATCCCCAATAAATAATAATATAAATTAAATTGTAATGCAAAAATAGACATTAAGAAGAACCCTATGATCAGACCATCTCGACTCAGATCAGCAAATTCCACAATTCCAAACAGAATCAACCAATCACACACGAATTCACAAAAATCAAAATCCATAACCACATCGATGACAGATCGAACACAATATACATAGATGAAATCACTGAGACCAATTACTGAAAGCACAATCTAGATCTCATAGAGCAGAGCAAAACATCGGTGAAAAACAATTACTGAAACAGAGATGAAATTACTGAGACCAATTTTTCAAAACACTAATTCAGCATTTTTCAAAACATTGATCCAGAGCACAGAAGAAACAGAGATAAATCACAAACATAACAACTAACCTTTGATCGAAGAAGACGAAGAGCTCCAAATCCACAGAGATAAATCATGGAGTTGTGCTCAAAATCGAACTTCGAAATCACAATCCCGAGATGAATCACGAACTGAAAAGGAATTGAAGAAGAATCACTGAACTGAAGAAGAATCGAGAGAGATTTGAATGAGAGAAAGAGATAGCAACTAACCTCTGATCGAAGAAGACGAAGACTTCCAAATCCACGGAGATAAATCGCGAAGTCGTGCTCAAAATCAAAGTTCAAAATCGCAATCCTGAGATGAATCACCGAACTGAAGAAGAATGAAGACGAATCACTGAACTGAAGAAGAATCGAGAGAGATTTGAATGAGAGAAAGAGATAGCAACTAACCTCTGATCGAAGAAGACGAAGACTTCCAAATCCACGGAGATAAATCGCGAAGTCGTGCTCAAAATCAAAGTTCGAAATCGCAATCCTGAGATGAATCACCGAACTGAAGAAGAATGAAGACGAATCACTGAACTGAAGAAGAATCGAGAGAGATTTGAGTGAGAGCAAGAGAGTGAGTGAGATTTGAGTGAGCGAGAAAGAGGTGGCGGTGCTCAAGATAGGGTTTTCAACATAAAGGTTTGGAGAGACAGAAGTGGTTGTGAAGAGAGACATGATTTGGAGGCGCTTTTTAAACGTCTTCAGTTAACAAAACGGTACCGTTTTACTTAATAACAATTGCGGCGTTTAAAAAACGCCGTTAATTGTTAGAAAGAGTGACGTTTAATAAAACGTCATTAATTAAACGCCATTAAATCCCCAATTTCCTGTAGTGACTATAATTTGTTCTTCTCACTAAAAAATTTAATTAATCATGTTCTTATCTTCATAAAAGATTAATCATTGGATCTTCCATTAAAATGGACTTATCACCAATTATTCCTAAATTTATTTTTGAAAGTTGAATAGGATTTTTTAATAAAAAAATCTAGTTCACCGGCACATAACTATCCCAATAAATTGATGTTGTAATAATTCATACTCTTTTAGATTTTATTTGTTGGTATATATTTGTCCCTTCATTTTTAAATCTTGTGTCCATTCATAAGCAATTCCGCACTGCTGCTATCTATCATAGCTCTTATAATACAACTGGGCTCAAAACCAAAGTTTGCATTTATGTTGATAAACCTTGTACGTCTCCTAAACAATCACTACAAAATTGAAATATCATCATATATATTTTTGCTTTGTTCATTGATTTGTTTTGGAGGTGTTTGGGATGATGTGGTGTATTCTTAGACATACAATATTGCTTATTGAGAATTATATTGAATAAAGGAAAATGCCTCGTAGCTTGACTTTTAGAGGCTCGAAATGGCTCGAAATGGAGAAAGAGGGAGAGAAGAGAGGAAACAGAGGAGAAAGAGGGAGAGAAGAGAGGAGGAAGGGAAGAAGCAGAGGAGAAGCAGAGCCTCGCCACCGCCACCGCCGCCGCCGATCGTCGTAGCAGACCGTCGCCTCGCCCAGCCCTGGTCGTCTGCCCAGCCCCACCGACGTTGCAGCACCACCGTCGTCTGCCAGCCCCAGTCGTCTGCCCAGCCTCCCCTCCTCCTCCAACCGATTTTTATGGCCCCCTCTCCTCCTCCTCCTCCTCCCTCTCCCTTCTCTTCTTCTCCCTTCTTCTTCTTCTTCTTCTTCTTCTTCGTTCTGCAACAAAACTAGGGAAGAAAGAAAAAAAAAAAAAAAAATCGACACCAAAACGACGTCGTTTTGGTGTCGAACCAGATTTCGAGCCGTGTTATTCGAGCTACCAATCCGAACCGTTGAATAAACAATATGAACAACCAAATATGTAAAAAAATTGAAAAATTAATGAAGAATACATTTGTAATAATGGCTTCCATATTGTTACTTGGGAAAAGAAAATGTCGAGGACATATAAGGATAATAACAAAAATGAGTGTACAGCCACATTTGAAAGGACGTTTAAATATAGCAGAACCTAAATTTGGGTGAATCACACAATCTAAAATCCCCTTTTGGGTCTAGTTAATTTATTCAGAATTTAAAAAAATAAAATAAAATGCGTGAACTTGAAAAAAAGTAAAAACTTTTGTCTATTTTTTGTTGGTATAAACTTCAAATAATTTATTTAGATGGATGTCTACTTTAAAATGTCAACGCCTATTCTTATAATAGTTCCAAATACTTCTTTTAGTCGAGTGTGGAAGCATAAAATAATGCTAATAACATATAGCACCTACTCAAAATTAATACTTTGCTTCTGAAAGTGAGCGCGTATAATGCATTATTCAATTTCTTTACTAAAAACACCTACCCTAAATAAAAAGAAAAACAAAATTCTTAACAAAGCTTTGACATTGTTATGATTATTATAATTCTTAGGCCCTGTTTGGAAATTTACTTTTTTAGTCAAAAAGTCAAAAAGTTACATTTTTAGTCAAAAAACCAACAACTCATACCAAAAAGTCAAAGATTCTCTTTTTTCTCTACTTTTTGCACATCTTTTCGTAATTAGCCAAAAAGTCATCCCAAACATATAAGTTTTTTTTACCTACTTTTTTAGCTAAATAGCCAAAAAATTACTAAATTAGCCTGTTCCCAAACGAGGCCTAATGACTAATGCTAGTGTAGTTAACATGAATTAATTGACTAAGGTGATGGTGGATGACCCAAAAGCTATAGATTATTTTTTATTTTTTATTTTTTTTTATTTTTTTTTACATCAGTTTGTAAGAGATTAATTATAAAGAGTAATGATAGGAATCATAAAATAAATATCATGAAAAATTTTATGAAACTAATCTAAGGTGATTCCATAATATATACAATAAAACACTTCAAACTAATCAAATGATGGACAATCTTTATGAAATTTTTTTATGATATTTTTTTCATAATACTTAGTACTATTGAATTGAATTATAAACATGAAAATTATTACATGATTATCAAATTTCAATAATATACTAAATCCAACAACCACAGTCTCAAGAATTGTTAATTTATGACAATTTTTTAAAACAAACATGACACAGTTAGTCTAATCCCACCCTTCATCTTTCAAAACAAACAGGGCTTACACCAAAACTATGATTAGAAGCTACATAGACAGTTCAAGTTGTTGACTAGCTGAATGATTCTCTAACCGATTTCACATGTATTTTAAAGTCAACTGTTAGTACAAAAAGGGCTCTACTCACTTGCACGGAATACAAGACATATAAAAAAAATCCAAAAAAAATGTACAATATTATAGTTGTCACTGTTCTCACCTATAATCTGACCAACATATTGTATTAGAGTTTTTCGTATTTTATGTGACTTCTCATGTGCTATGATAGCTCTTATTATTGTTTAATTACTGTGACTTCAACTTATGCACATGTAATTTATGACACATAAAAGGTGAAATATATCTTGTAATAAATATCATTTATACCTTCACGACTGAAACCTGTAGTTATAAACAGATCCCATCATATTAGCATGTACATAAATCAATAGTTTTGCACATTATTATTTTTATAATTTATAGGTTGAATAGTTGGAAAAATGTGTATAGAAGTGGTTTTCATACACTCTGTATTTTATTTATTTTTTATTTTTTTGTAATAACCGGATATCCAGATCAAATTACACCCTTCTTGACGTCGCAAAAAGTCATTTTGCCGTTGCAAAAAGTATTAGCGACGGCATTAGGAGTATTAGCGACGGTATTTTACCGTCGCAAAAAGTCAATTTTTTTGTAGTGCACACACCTCGACTAATCCTTGGACCTTGAAGTTAAGGATCGGATAAACCTCCCATAGCCCCAATATTTGAAATGTTTGACCTTCGTGGGTTTCGACCCTACGACCTCTTGGGTGGTAAACCCTTTGTTTGCCTCTCCTCCCACTACACCAAACCCCTTGGTCCATACCTTCTATGCTTGCCCAGTATTGCAATTCATATTAATCTATTTGGTTTAATTTTCAAAATCTATAATTTGAAAAAAAAATAAAATTAAATTAAAAGAAACTTAAAAACTAGTTTGAAGACTAGTATTGCAATTCACATTAATCAATTTGGTTTAGCTTTCAAAAATTGTAATTTGAAACTTTTAAACTAGTATTGCAATTCACGGACAAGTTGGAGCGATGACGTGGATCTAACGTGGCACCGGTGATGTGGAATACAATCAGCTCCGTGTGGCAGTGATGTAGCGTCCATTGGCGATGAATCAACCAATCGATCGAACAATTGCGTGTCCGATCTAGAGCGGTTTGATCATAGCCGTTGATTGGATATGCGCGCAATCATACGGATAAGATGGCACCTGATTGTGGTCAAGTATGATCAGTCAATGCATCCATTCGGTGTAAGAATGATCTGCACCATAGATCGTCAATCCAACAATCAGATCTGATTGGATGCGATCAAGGGACATTATCATTCGATCAAATGCATCAAAGCCTATAAATAGGCTACAAAATCAACCATTTCAATCCATCCAAAAATTCAGAAAGCATTTTTACGATTCTCTCTCTCTCTCTCTCTTTCTCTTTCTCTCCCTCTTGATTTAGAGTTTTTGATCAAGAGTTTCTTAAGCAAGTTTCTGCTTTTCTTACTGGTAATCAAATTCTACAAACTTGATTATCAATGTCTTGGTTTTCTTGATTATATCAAGAGTATTCTAATCTACTGTCATCAATGCAAACGCTGGTAGACTTGATCTTCAGATCAGGCTTCATTGTATCCTAGAGGCGAATTTGTTGTAACCCCCTACACATCTTTTAGTGGGTGCAAATATTGTCTTTAGGAAAGAGGCTAAGTAACGCGACTTGAAACACCAAATTTATGTTCTACATAGACAAGATCATCGCCAAGTTTTGAAGACCTGAAGACCACCAACTGAAGAATTCAAGACAAATTGTTCCAACATGTTACACTTTGTTTACACTTCATAAATCTCATCCTTCCACGATTCTTATTAAGTTTTTATTTGGTCATTTATGTTA